GATCAACTTCCTTCAGATCTCTGCTCAGATATCATCTTATTGGTGAAGGCGTCCCAATACATAAAATTGCAACTCATTCACTTTCCAGACTTCCCTGTCATTGTGATTTACTTTCTCATCATAGCACAGATTACCATCTAGCATTTTATGTATTTATGTGTTTATTTGTCTCTCTCCCTTCCCCTTTCACTATAGTTAAGTCTATGAGGCAAGAAATTTGCTCAATGCTGTATCCTCAGTACCTGGACTGTAATAGGGGTTTACTAAGTGACTTTTACATGAATGACTAAATGAAGTTTACCATAGTAAGAGTAATTTACCACAGTGAGATGTATTTAAAATGTTCTGTAGGAAAAGAAAAAGACTTGAAATAGAGTTTTTAAAGAAGAAAAGGAATTATTTTATGAATGTCATTCATGAATCACTGAGGTGTACATCTAGAAAGGATGTTCAAATCCCTTATTATAGAAAATTAAAAAAAGAAAGTTATGCAGCCAAAGGAAAAGAGAGAACCACCCATAGAAATAAATTTACAAAGCCAGTGGTATATTATACTGTTAAATGGGTATATTGGTTTCGTTGATGTGGAAAAAGGGAGAGAGGTAAAAGTAAAAGTAAATAAAAAGGCAAAGACTATTAAAGACACTTGAAAGTAGTATGTAGAGTACCTATGGTAATTAGGAAATTTGAGTCATGGTACATTTTTAAAATGCTTAAATGTAGGTGAGTAGAAATATTTAACTTGGGTTTAACTATTCTATTTTGACTGGGATCAAGAGAGACAGTTTTTTTTTTCTGTTGCTATCTGTTTCTTTATTTGTTTGCTTGCTTGTTTTACCAAAAATGTGGTTTTCAAGAAGATAGTATATTTCCAAAAGTTTTCAAAAACGTGAAGTTTTAATATTTTAAGTGTTAAAGTTATTAACAGTTTTGAAAATGAATTTTCTTACATACATTTATCTCATATGCCTGGGAATTTTTTTGTTTCCTTAGCTTAGTGCATTTCTTAAATCTACGTCTATCGGCTAGTGTATAGCTCAACTCTTTTCCCCTTGTTTCTGTCATCACATTTGTTACTCTCTGTTGGGCTCACCATTTCCTGTTATTGACTTCCTGTAAATTCCTCATAACAGATCTTGTAGCAGAGTACCTTTGAGAAAAGTATCTAAAAATTAAAACAAATATTTTATAAGTGATTTCTCAGCAGAACTTTTTAGCCAGTTTTTTTTTTCATGTTTAGTATTCATTTGTCATTGATATTTGCCTTATGTTTCCCATCACACATTCTTTTTCCTTTAAGCAACTGGTCTATCCAGATACTAAGATTCCTCTGATTTGTTTGTTCTGCTTATTTTTCTAAACTTCAAATGTTTAAATAATTGACTGCAGCTCACAGACCTCCATATTCGTAACTGCACTAGAACTCACAGAGGGCAGTGTCTGTCTGTCGTGTAGGTTCCAGAATGTAGAGTGAAGCACAAGAGTGAGTAGTGCATTTTGGAACCTTTAACAAGCCTCATGTGGATGCTTTTTAAATTTTCACAAGGACAAAAAGAAAGAGCAATATGAGATAAGATCCAAGACATGAGAGGTGAAGAAGGTAGAGGATAAAATGAAGGGTTAACAATGGCATGGATTAAGAGTAGAACAAACATTTCTCACCTTTACATTTTTATCTGAAAGTAGAAATAAGTTTCTTTAGGAGAGTAAAAAAGAAAGAGATATTCAAACAATTATATTCATATTATATTTCTTTTCTAATATTATTTTCCTTTTGTTGTAAACTATTAGGAACACTAAATATGAAATATTAATCCTATAATCAGTATCCTGTAATGGTTTAACTTTAACCCATATATTACTAAAAGAAGTGAACTAGATTTAGAAGAACCATTATCTGTGGTTCTTCTAAAGACCATTATCTCTGGTTCTTCTAAACGTGAATGTATCACCTTTCTATAATAATTTCTATATTAATTAAACATATACTCATATCCTTCACTGTAATATTTCAAGGGTAATTTGTTTTCTATAAAGTGCTCTGAGTTCTTTGAACAAATCCCAGATAAATACACCATAACTTTATGATACAACATTGTAGCTATGCTAAGGATTTCTTACAAAGTCACAAATTGAATGAAAATTTAAGCTAAAACCAGATAGTATCTCATAAGACCAAGGAAGAAAACAATTTTAAAAATAAAGGAAAAATAAAGGAAGAACAAGAAAAAGAAAACAATTCAAAACACCACTCCCGTCTGTGACCCTCCCCAGATCTATGCCTCCTGTAGAACCACATTAAAGATACACTTAGTCCATGAAACTTGATCTAACACAAGCCATGATGCCCCTCATTTGTCCCTTAAACAGTATATTATGACTAGTAACACTTATAAAAACATATCTATTTATGGTTATATAAACATTCCACGTGTGTGTTTCTCATCAACTTCTATAAGACTGTAACTTTTTTCAGGGAAGGAAGTGTTTTTGTTCTAACAGCATAGTTTATAGGTATGAACATATGATAAGAAGTAAGATACCTTGGCTAATGTGGCCCTTGAGGAATTTTTGGAGAATGGTAATGGTGCTAAAATATTGGAGTTAGTCAAATGTTATAATTAAAAGAAAAAATAAAATTGGGGTGGATTACAAAAATTTTAGAATCACCATTTAAAATTTTTATTTCTAGTGAAATTCTAGAACGGACCCAGAAAACAGCACTTAGAAAGGGAACGTTTCACAAAGAGCCTGCCTAGACTTTTGAAGACAGTGATTATCTACATGTAAGACAAGACTGAGGGCTGGGAGCTGGCTGTTATGGGGGAGAATGTCCACCTGTGGAATGGAGCCAGTAGAATGTTTCAGGACTGTAACTTGTATCTGCCTTGGCCTAGTCATCATTTTTATTAATGACTTGGTCGGATGAGGTCATAGATACCATGTTTGTCTCTTAATCCTCTAATGATTAAAAGTTTTGAAGCAATAGTGAATGTGTGGGATGTCAAAATCAGGATTCAGAATGTCTCTCCTAAGAGACTTCAATGTATATGTAATCAAGCTGAGGAAGAGACTACAAATATATCTGATGTAGTCCTAGTCTGCATTATTAAGAATGTGGCACCTAAAGGAGATGGAAAGAGCACCACTTTGTTCTATACGGGTAGGTTCTATACATGGATAGTTGCCCTAAATGTGCTTTAAACGTGTGCTCCAAGATATGAGTGATGTGGGGAATGAGAGAACTTGAAATCCACAGAGTATGTTTAATAGAGAAGACTCTTCAGGGATATAATAGCATTTGTAGCTATCTAAAGATATCATGTAAAGGAATAATTATTAGGCTAGTTTCAAAAGGGCAAAATAAAGCCCAATGAATCTGACAAACAGAAGGAAAACATTTCAACAGTTAGTACTCTTCAAAACAGATGGGGCGCCTGGGTGGCTCAGTTGGTTAAGCGTCCGACTTCGGCTCAGGTCACGATCTCACGGTCCGTGAGTTCGAGCCCCGCGTCGGGCTCTGGGCTGATGGCTCAGAGCCTGGAGCCTGCTTCCGATTCTGTGCCTCCCTCTCTCTCTGCCCCTCCCCCGTTCATGCTCTGTCTCTCTCTGTCTCAAAAATAAATAAACGTTAAAAAAAAAATTAAAAAAAACAGAAACCACTACCAAAGGTAATCCAGTGCGGACAATATTCTTTGTATCATCCTGAAGGTCATGGTAGCCACTCATACATATATAAATATTGAACCAATAAAAATTTGACATTTTTTTTACATAGTTTCATTAGACGTGATCTATACAAAAGTGATCTGTGGATTAAGAAGATATTGCAAAACATGACATATAAACTTGTCAAATTCCTGTGTTGTACACCCAAAACCAATGTAACCTTGTCAGTGAACTATTAAAAAAAAGAAACACTTTGCCGTGGTCTAGATGTGGTCATGTCTGCATTTTTTCTGGATTTCAAAAGAATGAGATGGTCTTTAAGAGATAATAATAGCTCTACTGAGACTTTACCACTTTTACATCTTAAATTAGGCTTATAGGAAGGAAATGATTAAACTTTATTTCTTTCCAAATTTGAAAGAACATCCCATTTTATGCTTCCATCTCCATCTCGCTCAATAGGTATAATTATTATAATTAAAGAGACATGCAAAGGGACTATTAAATAGTGGATCTGGTTTAGTTCATGCTAATTGTGAACTACACCCCAAGAGGGCAGCCATGAATGACTTGGTAGGGGAAAGGGGGTGTGGGGCAGAGAAGTTTGCATATCAAATACAAATTTGTACCTAAAATGTCTTTTAATGGCACTCACATTCTTTGTACTTTAAGGGAAAACCAACTCAAAGAATGCTGTGAGGGGCATCAATTTTTTTTTCATTCATCGTCATCATTATTGAATAAAATGTTCCTTTTTAAAAGATACAGCCATACCTAATAAACCCATTTTTAGGGGAAAAAAAGCTATTGCAAGCCAACACACTCTCCAGAAATGGACAATTAATGTTACTATCTCTTGCCCCTAGGAAGGTGACCAACTAGAGAGTAATGAGGATGTCAGTGGTGTTTTGTACATGTGCATAATACAGAATGTTTCATCATGATTTAAATTGTGTAGATACTTCGGTCTTCCTAAAGGAAATAATCCAGGAATTAATATTTTACAGGTAAAAGGATGAAATAGAAATCATTGAAATATAGACCTTGAGCTATATGAGAGCTTCACTTTCAATTTTCAAAATAACTAAACATAGGTTATGACATTTGTGGTAAATGTATTGTCTTCATGAAGAGAATTTCATAAAATGCATCACCAAGTCTATGAGAAAAAGCATACAAATTTTTTATGCAAGGAAAAAAATAGAGGTGGAATCTTAAGAGTTTCATACTGCAAGATAAGAAACCCACCATTCTGTTTGCATTTCACATAAAACTTACATTTTTGTTGTGTGTATTCATGATACATTTATTCTTTTTCTGCTTATTTTTAGGGTACTTTGAATCCCTATTGTGTATTGTGGGATGACTCAAAAACGTAAGTGACAGATGTTTTCTTATATTACTTTGGATTATATATTCAAAGCACATTAAGTTATTTCAGTTGCCTGCTAGTCAACAGGAAAATGATAAGTTAGTGGGATGTGTGTTACACTCAGAAAACATTTTGCTTTTTGAATCTGCAGGACAAGATGATGAATGTGTTTGTGTGTGATGATGCCATCAGATTATGTCCCAAGATAGGATTGCATTACCTAATATGTAAGACACATTGCTATGCAAATCCCATGAGGATTTTTTAGAAGCTCTAATATTTTAAAGTCGTAGGAGCTCAAATAATATTTCAACATCTTGCCCTAGTACTCCAGCTTAGCATTGCACACTAAAATAGCAATCTCTATGATCATTAGACCACTATATTATTTGCATGACCTTGAATCTATTATCAGAGTAATGTAATATTTATATGGCCCTTCCAGATTATTTTATTATAAAAACATTGAGTGACATTTAATTGTCTTATTCACCTATTTAATGAATTCATGAAGACAAGAGAAAACAATTGTAATAAATGAGGATTAATAATTCTTCAATGATTCCTTTCTGTAAGTAATTGCAATATATCTGGTCAAAATCATCTTAATCTCATCAGTGATTCTGTAAGATTTTAAGGAAGGACTCAAAGAGCAGAAATGTCCTGATTAAGTTTTAATTAGACTCTTAACGTTTTAAATATTTATGTACATTTATTTCCAGATTATACAATGTTTTGTTCTGTTTTGTTTTGTTTTTTGTTTTGTTTTGTTTTGTTTTTTGTTTTGTTTTGCATGAAAGGGAGATAAATATCAATTAATCCCATAGAGCTAATAGCTCTATGTTGATGCTGTTAGTTAGGGCACCACATTGTTGAGTACTAGGTATTCTAAGATTTTTCCCGGTGTTCTTCACCCCATATCTGATCTACATCTGAGGTTTTATTATGTTACTTGCCTCTCACAAGTTATTGGAGGGTCTAGGAGAAGGGCATGATTAGAATTTCTAGATAAAGAGCAAACCTACTGGAAATGTGGTTATTTTTAGGGAATGGATGCAATTTAAATTACAGTATTTATGTGGAAAATTAATAAGTGACATTGGGCATATTATTTGCTATAGATTCTGATATTCTAGGGATCCTCTTCTCGCAAGAACCCTAGTGCCATAAAAAGAACCCAACTTGCCCTGGTGATAACATCAGGTGGATATCCTCACTGATGTCATAATTTTTTTCTTTTTTGAAATCCAATACAGAAGTCCATGGTAGGAAAATTCTTGCAAGATTTGCTCTTTACCAATAACCAGAAAAGACTCTAGTAGTATATTCTAAGGCACTGTTTAGTATGTTGTATAGCCAAAGAAAGAATGAAACACCACAAAAATCTAATCAAATCGTTTCTACTTAAGAAAAATATACCATCTTAAACTCCAGTTTATAGCTACTTGCATATCTTCATGAATAATAACCAACCTGGATTTAGTTTTATTATCTTTTTAGTGGGTAGAACATGCTTCAGTGTCAATCCAAAAAGGGGAAGTGTTAGTTATTCTGAAAGACCTTTGGGACTGTTCAATGAATACTATGAGAAGAAACAGCATTCTCCTATTGTGTGACTCTTTTGGTTTTCTTTCACAGAATGTCTAAGGTTTTAAGTTTAATTTATAAATATATTAGTGTTTGAGGTCAGCATTAGTCTTACGAGTCAATCACACTCTTTCTCCAACATCTGCTAAAACATGACTCTTATCTGTCACACAAAAAAAACAAACAAACAAACAAAAACATATTTTAGCCTTACAAAATTCAACTGTTAAGTTGTCCTTGAAGAAAACTATCCAGTCAGAGGTGTGGTTAGCTGCCTTTCAAAGTAGATTATCTGAAGAGATCAGTGCAGTGCATGTTTCTTTGATGTATTTGAAAAGTAATCAAAACTGACAGAACTTCTGTCCCATCACCCTCTTACCAGAGTGTTTTATCATTAAATTGTTTTTCTGGGTGAGTTTTAAACAATGAAGGTTAAGACAACTGTATTTATTTTCTTCACAGCTGATTTATTTTTATCATGTTCATATATATACACAATAGTTTTACCAATGCAATGATTTCAAATCTAAGTATAAGTGCTCTAAGTATAGTTAGTTATGAAGGGATAAGGCTACTACGTTTTATATAGAAATGAGTTGACTTAAATGATTTTTTCAAGATTGCAGTAATGAAGTTGAAATTAGACGTTGTCTTTTGGGGCTCCTGAGTGGCTCAGGTGGTTGAGCATCCAACTTTTGATCATGGCTCAGGTCTTAATCTCAGGGGCTTAAACTCAGGGTTGTGAGTTCAGACCCCATCGTAGGACTCTGTGCTGGGTGTGAAGCCTACTTTAAAAAAAAAATGTCTTTTAATTTTGCTTTATGTTATCAGATTGTCTTACCTTTTTCATTAAGGTATAATTGATATATAACATTATATTTGTCTCAGGTATACGTAATGATTTGATATTTGTTTGTATTACAAAATGATCACCATAAGTCCAGTTAATAACCATAACCACATATAGTTGTATTTTTTTTCCTGTGATGAGAATTTTAATGATTTATTCTCTTAGCAACATTCAAATATGCAACACCATCTATAGTCACCATGCTGTACATTTTATCGCCATGACTTGTTTATTGTATAACTAGAAGTTTCTACCTTTTGACCCCCTTCAGTCATTTTGCCCACCCTTTATCCCCCTCCCCTCTTGCCTTACTTTTAATTTTTTAAATTATTTTTTTTAATTTTTTTAATGTTTATTTATTCTTGAGGGAGAGAGAGACAGAGTGTGAGTGGAGGAGGGGCAGAGAGAGAGGGAGACACAGAATCCAAAGCAGGCTCCAGGCTCTGAGCTGTCAGCACAGAGCCCAATACGGGGCTCGAACTCATGAGCCGTGAGATCATGACCGGAGCTGAAGTCAGATGCCTGACTGAGCCACCCAGGCACCCCTTAAATTAATTTTTAATTGCAAAATTAATGCCTGAGTATCTTTTAGGTATAAAACTTTAAAACATAATTGCTTAAGCAGAAGTCCCAATTAATCACCTTAATCAACTTGGGTGTCTATATCTACCCATCTCCCCAAGGTCACTTCTATTTATATTTTGTTATGTATAATTCCAGGTATCCGCTTATGCTTTGACATATGTATGCAGCCATAGAAATTAATACGATTTTTACATAAATATTATCACACAGTATGTAACACTGGCATCCTCAATTTTTAAATCCACAATACGTTGTGGAAATTTTAAAACTTTACTACATATGTTACACTTCTTGTACATGCTGCATTGTATAAATATATCATAATTGATCTATTATCCCTAATATTGATGGCATTGAGGTGATTTTAAATTTATTTTGTTAAATGAACTGTGCTTCTGTGTATCTCCTTGTACATCCCTTCTTGAAGTTGTTTCTGACCATCCAGTCCAGAGTGTTGCACTGTTCTTCTCTTTATAGCGCCCTATTTTGTATTCATCACAGCATACATTCCTACTTTAGTATTTATTTTTATTTCTCTTTGTCTGTCTCCCTGACTAGAAAGTAAGTGCCATGAAAGAGATACTTTTTCTTATTCACTACTGCATCCTTAATGCCTAGGACATCTGCACGTAGCATATATTCAACAAGTTCTTCAATTGATTAGTTTTGTACAAGAATAAATGTTCAAATATTTCTCAGCTACGGTTTCTCTTTGAGAATTATTTCCATGTATGTTCCATCTTATTAGTGACATACAGCTCTAGCAATTATTAGACCTAATATTGGAAGTTTGAAGGGAGAATACTTCAGCTTGGTACAATACTGAGGTCTGTTATAAACAATCCATTTTATTTCTCATGATAATCTGTTACCCTGATAATCCCAAGCAAAGATATTTTTATTTTAGTCTGATTGGTCACAATAGTTTTAGACAATTTTAAAACATATTTTTATCTTGCTTTGGATAACTAATTAACAGGATGCAGAAAATGTTTCATTATGGATGACCCATGAAATAAATTGAAAGTACTTTCTCACTTCAGAAATAGGCTTTTTTGGGGCGCCTGGGTGGCGCAGTCGGTTAAGCGTCCGACTTCAGCCAGGTCACGATCTCGCGGTCCGTGAGTTCGAGCCCCGCGTCGGGCTCTGGGCTGATGGCTCAGAGCCTGGAGCCTGTTTCTGGTTCTGTGTCTCCCTCTCTCTCTGCCCCTCCCCCATTCATGCTCTGTCTCTCTCTGTCCCAAAAAAATAAATAA